TCCTCCGAGCGAGCGTAGGCATGCCTCGGCATTCATAGTGGATTCTATCTATATAGTTCATTCCTTCCGCCGACGCAGCTTTCTTCTGAGTTCATATCTGTTTCACTCTCGCTCTAGATATTTCATTGTCTGATGCGCGAGGCGTCACCGCTACCGCCGCTGTGGCCTTTTCATCTCGGCCCCCACAGCCGCGATGCGCGAACGACGAGGCCACAATGGCCCTCAAGCGGCGTTTCTCCACCTATATTTTCCCCTCTCCTGTCTGTTTCGTACTCTGTTGAATATCAACGTTTGTCGCTTCGACAGTGACTTGCCGGTGCTCAACCGGAAAGTTTACGTCTGACTGCGAGATCGAGCCCGATCACCCGGTAGACAACCTGGTGCGAAGGCTGTGTGTCGGACAGGCTCGTCCGGAACGTGCATTTGTCGCAATGCATTCCGCACGATTCGCTTTGAATTCATGCAGATCTCGGCGACAACAGGCGGGAGCTCGTGTCGCTCTATAGAGCCATTTCTGCTCCTGAATCATGGAACGACGTCTCCGTGGATTTCCCTCAGAGCAGTTGTACGTAGACAACGTCGCCGAATTCGTCGAATCGATACGCTTTACGACGGACCTCTCGGCAGGAGGACGCGACGTCAGCCTTCGGAGCGTCTTCGAATTTACTGAAACATCCACGAAACGAGCAGATTCACGGCCACGGTTCACGGGTCCACTGCACCGGGCCCAGAAACGTCCGAGAGGAACACGCAAGTCGCGGTCCTTGCTCCGCCGTTGCGCGCAGTATCCCACCGCAGTTTGTTCCGCAAATCCTTCAGCTCCTCGTTCCCTTCATGTCCAGAATCCTGTGTGGAGACTTAGTTTCTTCTCTCTGGTGATCTTCCTCGTTCGTCTGTACTGATGCTGATTACATCCCATGGATTACAGCTCGTTAGAGAGCGGATAAGCTTTCTCTCGAAGAAGCGGATTAACACAAAGAGAGAAACTGCGGCGGGGGGAAGGGGGCTGGAGGAGATGGGGAGCAACTCGCCAATTCTCCAGTGTGGGCAAACCGACAGAGCCATCATGTGTTCGCACGTATGCTGGAAATTCCGGAAGCACCGCGATCTGGGATTTTCGGTGAGTTCAAGTCACGAAGGATGATGTCGCGTTCTGCTCTCACTTCTTCGTTCCGCTCAGACAGATGGATAGTATGCACTTTGCAACGTTTGATAACTTCCTCCGTTGGAGATGGAATTTTCCGCGTCGATCGAGTCTACGCTCTCGCCCGCTCGTCGGAAGCGATGGTGGCGTGCGATTCTCCCGCCCTATTTATCTTTTATTCCTCGTACTCTATCTCCCGTTATCAGAGAGGCAGCGGACGGAGATGCGGACCGAAAAGTGTGAAGATGAAGGTACGCGGAAGGGAGGGAGATGCCGAAAGAGGGTTCGCTCGATCCACGCCGCATCCTCGCAAGCCAACCGAGCAGACATGCACGCGGGCGGAAAGCGGACGCGCAGACTGCGATGGCAACCTGATTGAGTTACACGCTCCGAGGGAAAACGGAAGACTGACTGAGACGACAGGACGGAACTCAGGAAGGAAGCAGCGAGGAAGAGATGCCCTAAGCGCGAGAATAATTATCGCCTTACGCTACCGACCGAGCGCGGAGTACCCCACGAGATGAGACAAAGATATTCATCCCCTGACCCTCTGGTAAGCCGCGCCATGCTCTGCGGCGTTCCCCTTCGACTTTCTGCAGCCACCGCTGCCTCGCAACGTTTCCGTGGAAAAAATCGGTAAGAGGTTTCCCTCTTCCGCAGAGCTCTGTCGCCGGCGCCGTATCTGGAAAATAGCTAGCCGAGATTCCCCCGAAGCCTATGATTGCCGCGCGCATCGTTACCCGAGAAGCAACCTGCTCGCAGAGGTGACGCTACCCTTACTTTCCCGCGAATTTCGAACTTTTCATTCTCACGCTTCGGCGCCCGTATTAAAACGCTTTCGGCATAACGCGTGGGCGCCCCGAGATGGAACGGTGTCTGGCTGAGAGTTGCTCGGGAACAAGGGTCGTCCTATCTGATCGGGAGAAGTTTGGGATAAAGGGGCGGTCGCGAATTCCTCAGAAGTTGAGGAGCGGATTCCGCTTCCAGGCTCGACTTCGCTCCCGATTCGAAATGGAATTATATCGAATACGACGTTTCGGGGAGTCTAGTGAATGTTGTAATCAAATCGTTCCCACGCTCGATGATTTGCGGCTATCTCTACGCCACGTAATGGATCTTCGACTACCTCCGGCAGAGCTCTTGAGCAATCAGAATTTTCGGATTTTTCTCAGATTGTCTCGGCTAAAAGTCTAATCCGACTGAGCTGATAACGAGTAATGATGCGCGGCGTAGTGTTCGGAATGCTCGGGTATGTATAGACTGAAAGGCGGGTGAGAAGTGGAGGACTCCGCGGGTGGCTCCTCGCTCCCTCGTTCGGCTAGTTGGTAAAGTTACGCTTCAATCAGGCTAATGCAAGCAAGTCGTGAAGAAGCCCAGTGACTCGACCGCCTGCTTCCGCGCCCCATGACAACAGAGTAACGCTGTTGATCTTTGGCAGCCAGAGAGTTTTCTGAGCTTCGATTCACTCCTGACTTCATCCACCTCGGGCTATTTCGTCTGCTGACCGACCGACCGACCAACCGGCCAGACAGTCGCTCAATCGATCAATTCATCGGTCGGACGAACGGCGATTTTCATCTCTAAAAACGAATGTTCCTAGTTGAAATCGATTTTCCGAGTAACCTTGAGATCGGAATTCGATGCCTTGAGGTCGTGAATTGTTTTTTTCGCAATTCCTCCATGGGCTCCGCGTCTGGATCGAATCCTTGACGCATACATGAAGTTCCGGTCGTTGTCATCGTCTCTGAGCTGCTTGATGCTGATCGATCGGAGGATAATAATTGATGGTAGTGACGTGGAGCAGAACTTGCCGACGCGCAAGTCGACCGGGAATTCCAGCTTGTTCATGAGTTGCCGAGTAACTCGCAGACACTTTTCAAGAGCAATCAGCACAGAGGACGACCGATGAGCCCACGTCAGAGAGAACTTTGTTCATGAAGAACTTTGAGCGCCACTCTGGAATGAATTCGCTCAAAGTTTCATAAAAGGAGGGGACTCTCGACCGGATAGAAATCCTCGGAGAGAAACGATGGGGACGTTCTGTTAACTTTCAATAGAATGCCCCTATCGATTCATCGGATATCCGACACATTGATTGCGAAACCCGTCTCGCTACTCTAGCATCGGAGGTTTCATTGGGGGCTCGCCGGGTCGGGACGGCAAATAATTCCCTTAACTTCAACATGCTCGAGGCTAGTACCATGGATAACGCGAACTTCTTCATCTGATACGTTCCCTACACGCGAAGGGTACAATGAGTTTTCCAAGAGCCCAAAACATCTCACTGGGTCTTGCGTAATCCCTTCCGGAAGCTCCTACGGGGCCGGAGCTCAGCTCCGTAGGAGGGGATTTCAACCATTATGATGCATTTCGAGCATTTCTACTGAAAGGTCCTCCGACTCGGTCTCGGTCGAGTTTCTGGCCCGGCTGTCTTCGCTGTATCCCCAGATAGTAATGGGTTCCTATTCAGCCCGAGCAATAGCGAACAACGATACCTCAGGGTCGGCCAGGACATCCGTATGTATAGCTTGCCCGCTCTAGTTAGCGCTACGGCCGAGTTCATCGGCCGAGGCAACTCTTTATCCCGACCGATTCAGGCGGAATGCATCGTTACCCGGAGAGCAGCCATAGCGTCCGTTTGGAATGATTCTTGTGCTCTCCTTGCTTGACTCTGACGAATCTTTAGAGCGAAATCTTCCTGCCCGCCGTCTGGCTTCCTGCTCGACGAGTTGCCATGCTACTTGGTATCGTTGCTGCTCGACTTCGTTCCTCTACTTCGCGAAGCATCCGGACAAGCCGCCTGTCCGACGGCTCCCTAGGTAGCCTGTTAAATTGAAATGACGGAGCCGCTCTGCAAGCTTCAGAGCTTTCATTGTGGAAGTTCGTTTTGTGTTCGTCCTCTGAGAACAATCGTGAGCAACAAGCGCGTCGCGCGCTCAAACTACGCAGTGCCGCTCGAGAGGATCGGAGAGCCGAGTCAGCGATCGGGCGAGCGCATCCTAAGATTCATGGATCGGGTCGGTGGGTTAGGGGGGGCGAAATGGACCGGCCGATCATCAATGAGACCTCGCTCGCTCGGCTCCCCGACCGAGGCTCCGCCAAAGAATTGTTCGCTACGATTGTGACCTTGCATAGATTTGGTTGGCGCCTTTCAGGAATCCGTTCTCATCCTTCTGCGGTCGAGCGGGGTAGAATGCATGAGCTCCCAGGCAACAATTCAATGCGTCGACGAACAATAGACACCGATTGAATCATCTTCAGACGATACATTTGAATTTCGGATTTCCCGCTACGGAGTTGGAAAACGAATGGTGGGACAGATGCCGTTCGTTGATCACGCACTTCTGTGCTATCGCGCGTCGGCGGGAGACCGGACAGCGGGTCCCTGATTCCGGTCCTGAGCTCGTAGAATCTCATCTGCCCGTTCCGTCGGACGCCAGAGTCCCGAAGGAGACTGGACCTTGAGAAAAATGAGTACGCACATACGAATCATTCTCGGACGCTAAGAACGCGACGCCGCCACCAGCTCGATCGGACACGGCTTCGCTGACTTATTCTTTGTTGTCTCATTCATTCCGGTCTCGATCGAACCTCGAGCTCCCATATGAGAGAAGAAATTAAAGAAGTACACGAAGAACGCAGATCGACAGCTGTGATACGTGTCCGATCGATCGGCTTCCTACTGCGGATTGCTCCGAACGACCTATTGGGCGATAAGAATTTCATTGTCTATCTCGACAAATAAGTTGCGGGCTAATGGATGCACGCGGGTTTGTCGCTCCCCCTGCGATGGGATTCCTCCACTACAGCGCTGATTCCTGAGCTGAATTTCGTCAATGAGTGATTTCCCACGTACCTCAGGAAGCAAGATGTCGAGCCGGAACCAGCAGCGTGGAAATTTCCCTGCCTGCCGATTTCTCGCGATTGCGGAACCTCTCAATTTGTCCTTCGAAGATGGAGCTCTGCAAAAGATAGAGAAACACTACGTGAAAGTCATTAGCTCGACAGCGGAAGAATGAGAGAAACGCTCAGGATGTATGCTTTCGGAGCCATTGCAGCTCCGACTTTTCGAGCTAAGAGGCGGTGAGAGGAAATTTCAAAAGTTCATAACATAAGCGCAGACACAATTGTCAGCTGCCGATTCTGATAATCGCCGAAGAGCTTGCTTTAAGATTTTTAGGAGATGATGATGCCACACGAAGAAGCGAAAAGCAACAAATGAGAACCACACCCCAGATGTTCCAAAAATTCCCACGCGATTCTCTCTCGGATGTCGAGGGCTTCTGTGAAAGCGCTGAGAATCGAAGTCGACGATCGAAAACTCCGCATCTCCACTCGCAGTGAATTGACTGACAAACTTTGACAATAATTTGACACCAGTATAAATCATTCACATCGAAGTTTGCCGTTTTCTCTTCGAACATGCGATCGAGCCCACGCGTTTTTTCTGCTCATCAAACTCAACACTCCTTCAGCATTAATGAGGCGTGTGTTTAATTTGACAAAAATAAAGGCCGCCCTGACGGGCAACGGGACCGGCCCATCGACTGAGCTGGGCTTTAACGCATTCCTCATGCGATGAGGACCCTCATTTATCTCACTCATCGTGGAAGCAAATCGACTTCACACCTGAGTCGAGTCTAGCCTCCCCTAGCCCGAAGATTCGCGTCGGCTTCACCCACCGTCGACTCAGGGCCCCTTCCAGCGTGCAGTGGCCAGAGAGGGAAAACGACAGCAGTGACAACGGAGGGACAAGTAGTCGATGACATTTTTTGAAAGTCGTTACATCTTCCGCCTTAGCCGGTCAATCTGCGGGCGCGGCCGGGAGTGCCCAACAAGCTCGAGCGGATAAGCAAAGTAAGCCGCGGGACGAAGCTTCGAACATCAAGACGGACGAACCACTGGAGGACCGAACGGGAAAATCCTTATTCCGCCAAATGAGGACGGAGCTTTCGGCCCAGGCTAACGGAGATCGCTGTCTGCCGTTTCTGCCGCCGGCTGACTCGGGAGCTGCTCTCTCGGAGCCGGCGTGTATGGAGCTAATCACAACAGCAACTAATAATGTCTACACCGCCAACGACACGAAAGAACGAAACGAATGTTGCTGCTCCTCATGAGAGAAACGAACGTGTACAGCTGCAATTAGAGCCCTGGCGGCATCATCAGCTCGAGCATCGGCGTCATCATCGGCAACGTCAACATCATCCGCAGTCGGTGTGGCCTCCGACGCAGCCGCGTGCTTCCTCTTTTTTCCCTCTCTCTCTCATTCGACTTCTCTCGTTCTGTCTATCCATTTAGTCATTCGCTTGCCTTCTTGTTGAGTCGCTACTAGTTTTCGTAAGTTGCCCTCATGGGGCGCAGCCGAAATGACTTCTGCGACATCAGCGGTGGTCTTCGCCGGGGGTCAATTGACTCGCGGACTATGCGCCTTACCTACGACCATTTTTGACACTTGCTTCAATTCGCTTCCTCTTCAGCTGCTTCGGTGTGAGCAGTAGCCGCACTGGAAGCCATTAAAATGCCTCGGTCCCCGCTGCCAATCGGAAAGTTAAGAGACGGGCGGTACCCGAGATGCGCATCGAATTTCTCATAGCGATCCTCTCTCTTTTTTAATTGAACGATTCCATGATCGAGTGATGTAGATAATGAGAAATGGAGAGGGTCCCACGTGTGATCGATCACCATCGAATAGTTTCCTGAGGTGGATGTTCCACCGCCCACGGGTCTCCAGGGTTGGAATTCAAGTGCCGAGTCTTCCCCGCGATTGCGTCTGAGCCACTTGCATCAGTTCTCTCAAAATCGCGCTTTTCTCTTTTCGTTCGCCTCTGCTGGTAACCCGATAGACCGGAGGGGAAGCTGTGAGCGAAATCGGAGAAAATAGTAGACAAAAACAGCTTTCGTGAGAACAAGCGAGTCGACGACGTCGAGTTCGAGCGACAAACTTGGCGCCCCCGCCTCCCCTGCCCCGACTCGGAAGCTCTCTCATCGTCACTCGCCCTCGATGTACTCTCTCTTTTCGGAAGAGAAAAAAAAGTTGGTGGGGTGCTGAGTGCTGAGTAATCTCGTTTAGTGGCACTTTTACTACGAACGACACTGAACGACGACGGTCCCTCCCTCTTATGTCTCCTTTCTCGTCGTCGGTCTATCTGTCGTGCGGGCAGTGAGCGTTCACGAGTGAGCGTCTCCCTCAGCGAAATTAGATGAACGTCAACAGAGTCTACGTCGCTGTCGACACCAAAAGTTAGCCTTGACTCGTGAGGCTGTTCCCTCTTCTGGCTCGAGAAGGAAAAACGACTCTGGTTTTCCTTAAGTCATCCTTTGGTTTTTCCATCGCGAAGCCCCGGCGCTAAATGACGTCGGTGGTTGGGAACGGCGGAGCCCAAGTCGTCGACGACGACAACAGCGTAATTCAATTGGCTCTTCGAGTTTTTATGCAACGGTGGCGTCGCCCCCGCTCAAGTGCGGAGCAACAAAAACTCTGCGCTCCTTTCCTCTTAGCCAGCTGCTCGCGCGGCTCCGGGCGTATCCTCACCAGCCGAGTTCCACCAGGCGTCGAGAACATCGGTTGCGACCTCGGATCCCGCTGTTCGGGGGCAGCGATTACGTAATCTTTCGAAATCCAGCAATTCCTGCGTTCGAGAAACACGTGTTGCTCCTTATTAGCTATTTTTATTTCATCCGAAGGCTCCCATGGATGGCCCGATGGCGGCTTCTCCAAATCAGAGGACTCCCGGCGAGATATGGACCCCGATACTTTCGTACCGACACAGGAATGCACCCGAAAAAATTTGAAGTTTTTTCTCGCGTGGCTCATCCGACAATCAATCACGCAATCCGTGCATCCCTCAACCCTTCCCTCGACCAGCTTTCGTATCGTTCGAGTCAAATGGGAGAACGAGTCGATCATTTCCGCATTACCAGAACCGTTCGAGGCGGACTTCTCCAAGGGAACGATTTCGGTAGTGGTGGTAGGGGGAGGGGGCTCACATCGATCTCCGTATCTTGATTTCTGCTCCCATCTCTCCCATCAGGCTCCCGGCCAGCTGCGCAGAATGCTGGCTAGCCGCTCAACTCGCCGGCGGTTCCCGCACTGTTGATAGAAAAGGTCAGTTCGGCAAAGGCCAACGGCAGACGATGCTCCGTCAGAAAGAGGACGACAGCTAAGCTCAACAGGCAAACAGGCTCGCGAGCCGGCCGACCGGCAGAAAAGCGGGTGAGTGAGCCGACGGCGGGTGGGCGAAGGAGGCAGTCAGTCAGCCGTTCGACTAGCCGACGGTCGGCTCGTGAGGCGAGCGAGCGAACAAGCAAGCCTGTCGAGCTTAGGCCTGATCCATCATAGGCTCACAATCATTGCTCAGACGAGCAGCCGACGGACGAACGAACGAACGAACGAACGCATAGACCGACGACGCCGACGGTCGCGGGGGTGGATATATGTATGAATGAATGAGCGGACACACCGTGCAGGAGATCGGATGTCGGCCGGATGAAGAGCTCCGGAATTCGATGCGATTCCTCGGTAATCATTCGGAAAGGATACGCAAATATCGCTTGTAGATGATACGAGATTACGGCCGAGCTTAGAATCGTCGGAGGACGAGCCCGCTATCGATGACGTCCGACTTCTTTCTTCGTCACGAGTCCATCTGTCGTCTGTTAGAAATTCGATCGTTCGTCCTGGGACGAGTTGTTGCTTTGATCGGGTAGGTGTATTATTCGATCGGGTCCCCCGATCGCTGATTAATTTTTTGGTGGATTCGCCTATTCCCGTGTCCCAGTGAGATTTTCCACTGCGAATCTGCCTCGTCCGTGTACTCGACAAACGACCGCGCTTCGTCCCCACGACGGAGTAGCTGACCGACTACTATTCAGTCGGGACGCTCCGGATGAAGTTGGTACGACACGAGATATCGAGGACTAGCGAGGAAAAATGGGAACTAATCTGAGCAATCCGATCCAAGCGGACCCGCTCTCCCTCGGTAGACGCGAGTACGACTGGCTGGACGCATTGTCAGTCGGGGGCGGATACAGGCTTGGGAACTCCGACCAGTCGACTTGCCAACTCGCGGACTCGCGCGGAGCTAAAGACCTTCGCTCCGGATCCAAGTAGTGTCCTTCTGCCGGGCACGGACTCGAGAGAGAAGGATATCCAGGGAGGAATTGACGAGGGGCTCATCGCTGCTATTAGCGTCTCTAGCTTGATGGAGGACCGAACCCGGACTCAAGGTCTTGTAGGGAAGCGAGATAGAGAGACGTCGTCGTTGTCCGCTGCTGCCAGTAAGGAATAGGGACGGGAGGGATTCCGGGGCCGAATGCCGGCGACAACGATGCCGAAGTCGCTGAGAGCACATTCCATTTCCCCAGCCGACAATCCAGGCCGGGAGAAGAAGCAACTCAGAAGAGGAGGAAAAAGAACGGAGCCGAAGGGACACGGCTATTGGGCGGGAAGGCGACGATCCTCAGACTAAGGGCTACTTGCCAACCCGTCGCCCATCCGCGACCCACCCGCCTGGATTACATTTCTTTTTTCCAAGCTTCGTTTCCGCCGTCGCATCTCTCTTCTGTCGTCTCGGCAAGGCGAAGCTGATTCTTTTGTTTCATGTCCGGGTGGGGAATTTCTCGCTACTGCCGTTCTGTGAGTATATTTTTGGCTAAGCGCCTGCGCTGGAATTACTGGCCGTTCAGAGACGAGCCATTCATTTCACCGCCCGGAATAACGGCTGGCCTCGGATATCTCGGAAGGGGAAAAAAACAACGATCAACAACACATACACTCTACGTCCTACATGGTCGTAGATTGAACCGATGAGCGAACTCCGAGCGGCGCTCGGATCCTGAATATTCGGCAGACCCTCCGGACCCCTCGGAGCCAAAGCTGATACCGATAGGATGCGAGGTTCCAGCCGTGCTGAGTGTGCGTAGGTATTGCGTACGAATATCGACCCGGTGATTGACTGACTGCGT